AGATGAATTATTAAAAAACGTGAAGAAATTGCTATTGTGCTTCTATGGATTGAACAAGCTATTCAAAGTCGAAAAGATTATTTACGTTTAAAATCTCGCTATACGACGTCTATATCGTAAAAAAAGGGAGTGTGGGTATCATACGCTTTTCGTACTCACACTCACCCACACCCTCAAGAGTATTTTAATAGATCAACATCAATAATAGAGTATTTTCATTTTGAAATATTTCCTGGTTTTATCCCCCGGAACGTATTAAGATGACAGGCAAAAGATAAATGATAATCATAAGAAAAACTAACAAATAGAAATAAAATCCAATAGTGAAGCTTACAGATAATAAATAAATTCAAATCCTTCTCTTAGTTTTATCGTTTTTAGCACTTCTTTTGCCTACAAGAATACATGTGTTTACTCTACCATTCTCTTTTATTCTCACCCCGTCCTTTTTTTTCTTTCTTTGATGTATCTCGTATACTTCTGAACATGCTTTGCGCACATTACTTGCTTTGTATAACTTTTTTTTCTCTCTCCTCGTATACTTCTAAACACGCTTTGCGCACATTACTCGCTTTGTATAACTTTTTTTTCTCTCTCCTCGTTTCTTCTAAACACGCTTTGCGCACATTACTCGCTTTGTATAACTTTTTTTTCTCTTTCCTCGTTTCTTCTACCGTTCTGTAGCTTGAAATGTCACTATTCTTTCTTCACCTTCGATCTATTCCTCTTCTCTAACATGTAGCAAAAACCGAAATCATCGATTACTTGTTAACCTGAAAAAGAACAAATCACATATCATCCTTTGTACATCCTCGATTTGTTATATCGTATTCTATTTAGCCTTTGTTCACTTATATATATACATAAGTGAAGGCGTGCACATCATACGTTCTCTCCCTCGATCTCACACTAACACCGAGTATACGAAGTGAGGACTATGTTTGCGGTTGAATTTCAAATATCATTTTATAGTGACGCCCATCAGTGCGATATTTGCAGATATAACATCGCTCTATTAATTAATATGTGCAAATATACAAAGAGCAAATAAGAACAAATACATTGGTATGTTGAAAAGTAGAATCAATGGAGAGGCGAGTGAATGAAACGAGTACAATTTTAAAGTACATCTAATTGCCTTTTCGAACGTACATACGAGCACTGATCATCGGATGAAGGTTGAAATAGAAACAGCTTTTATTTACAAATCGCTCTGCCAGGTTGATGCCGATGTGATTGATCGATTAAACAGTCGTTATACCACATTCGCATTGATCGGTTGCTTCCTGATTATAGCGGCAAAAATTTATGTAGGAAATCCAATCAATTGTTGGACACCAAGTAAGTTCCGAAAATACATGTTTCCAAATCGATAGTTGCCCGTTCTTGATCTATTATAGCACAATTCCAGAGTATCCATTCTACCTACGTCAATAGTATTTGTTGGCTCAAGGGAACTTACTATTTGCCAACTGAGGAAAGTATGTTTTGTCGCACTACTACTCGTCATTCATCACAACTATTGTTGTTCTAGTTAAAATTCCCGATAGATCCGTACCACGAATGTATCTCGTGTAAGTGAAATAATTGATTCGAGTTAGTTCACCGTATTCTCATGTCATCGATCTAGATCTTATTACCAATGGACGTCACCAGCTCTTGTGCTGATGGCTCTTCTATTCACATTGCCAGGTCAAACATGGCAAACCTTTTCCTATCAAAGCGGTGTAAATCTGAAAAATTTAATCAAAATGATCAAAGAAAATCGTCATGACAAAGAGAAACTCGACCACGTTATCCGGTTGGTCAAAGCACAATTGGATATAACCAGCAATATGCGTCGACGCACTCTTACTCGTCGGAAATTCTGGGTTCGAAATACTGCTAGTCGGCTAACACCGTTATTATTCATGATCAAGTTTTTTTATGTGACAAATACATGTGGTCAATTACTATTCTTAATCAGTTTTCTCTCATTACGATACACTGATATTGTTGGTAATATTATTGACCGACTATTCCGAGATCGAATGTATACCTACGAGTCCGTCCGATTTCCTCGTGTTGTGATGTGTGATTTTATGATTCGCGAATTAGGCTCTAATCAGCATTGGTATGCTGTTCAATGCAATTTGCCAATTAATATCTTTAATGAAGTGATCTTCTCCGGTCTTGCGGTGTGGTTGATGATTCTGAGCATTGCGAATGTGCTGTCCATTTTCTTATGGGTGGTTTTATTGATGAAGAAGAATCGGAAAAGATTCATTACCCAATGCTTGCAAATCTATGAAAATTTGGAAACAAAAATGACGATTGAAAAGAAGAAGCCAACAGAAAATCGTTTTATTGATTATATAGGTTTAGATGGTTTTGTCATTCTACGCATCATTGGACAGAATATCGATGAACTTTGCATGATTCAAACTATGGGTTATCTTTGCACACATTATGAAGGAGATCTTGGTGATGATGATGATAATGATCAGGCTAAAACTCATATCGTGTAGACTTAGCAATGTCTGCATTTTTATTGAAGTAACATTTGGGGTACCGCGGAAGTGAAAGATGATTGTAATAAATCAGACTGTGGCGAGCGATCATAGATTTTCTATTTGCAGTAGATTAGTCTCATACAAAAGTAACATGAACACAGTTATCTATGATAGCAGAATGATATGTTAATAAAATAACTAGAAATACAACTTTCGCTGGAAGTATGTGAGTGTGTTCTAACCTCCATAACTTGATGTTGTTCTCGAAGTAGGACCTAAATAGATGCCTACAAGTAATATGCGAAACATCCCAAGTGGCAGTGGTTTATCCAGCGGGGGGGCACGGGGCTTTTTGCCCCCTCGGAGGATGCTCCTGCCCCCCCGAAATTCAGAAAAATTACGCTTTTTGAGTCTAAAACTCTACGTTTGCCCCCTTAGAAGAGAGATTTTTGCCCCCCCGGCAGTTAATTTCGCACCCTCGGACGAAAAAAGCTGGATAAAACACTGCCAAGTGGTTATGAAGTCTCTCTTGGTCATTATGATGATTATTTTAAGAATTGTAGGTATCGGCCAAACTGAATTATTCCAGGACTTGTATAAAAATCATTAGAATTCTAATCAGCTGTTTAAAATTGTCTATCATACTGTGACCTCAAAACAAGACTTCAATGTTTGGAAGATAGTCACAGAAAATAGGAAAAAAATCGTTGTAAAACTGACATATTGGAAGAACCTTAGCGAAAAATTGTAGTGTTGAAAACTATAGTAGTCAGAAGTAGGTGTTTATTGATATTCTCTTTCTCGTAGAGAAGAGTCCAGTAAACATAAATTGTCTGATTGCTTGATTGCTTGTCTGTCCGTAGGGTCAAAAAAACATTGAAATTTAATTTTTCAGATACTTCCGGAAAACTTTGACTGGGGGGTAATCGAGGGCGGGGAACTTGAATCTGAGGTTAGTTTATTAAAATTAACTAGTTAATAATTAGTTAATAATCAGTTAATAACTAGTATTATTATATGTTCGAGTAAAGTTTCACCGAAGGGTGATCGAGTGTGGAGAATCCGAATCTAAGCTTATTTTTAGTTAACAATCAATTAATAATTAGTTAATAATTGATATTATTAATTTTTGAAATATTTTCGGAAAAGTTGGACCAAAGGGTAATCGAGTATGGAGAACTCGAACCTGAGATTGATTTATTAATATTAATTAGTTAATAATCAGTTAATAATTGATATTATTAATTTTTGAAAAAGTTTGATCGAACGGTAATCGAGTGCCAAGAATTCTAATGTGAGGTTAATTTTAGTTAAAAATCAATTAATAATTAATTAATATTATTAATCTTGAAGATAGTTCCAAGAAAGTTTTACCAGAGGGTAATTCAAGAATCGATTTTTTAGAAAAGACAGTTTTGGAGCATTTCGATGTGGAGACTTCGATTCTGATGTTAGTTTTATAAAATAATTTTATGGATCACTTTTTTAGGGAGAGAACCAATTTTTATTAAAAAGAATTTTCATAAGGGGTGACCGAAGGGTAAGTAGGGTGGAAGAACACAAATCTGGTGTTAATTTTTCCAAACTGTATAAGCAAAAAGTTTAGTATTGTAGAATACGATTTCTACGAGAAAGAGCTGAGCGAGTCCGCAGACGAGCGTTACTTGTGATAAATAAGAAATTCGATTCCATTATTGACAAATAGCATCGAAACCTGTTTTCTTTTATTCAATATTAAATATAGAGACTAACAATGAACGGCATAAGAAAGTTCAGATTACTTATCCAGACCAATCTGGTGAGTCTAGCACATCAATTCCATATTTGGCTGCAACTTCATTTACTGCTTTCTCCCAACCATCCTCTTGTGTTACAATTATTTTGCTTACATCTTCGAAATAATGTTCAATACCAGCAGGTTGAAAAACGTATTCTAATCGCGCACCAGGTGAATTGACATTCCGAAACCGATGTAGGATGTAACGTGGTGCATACACTCATGTACCGGCTTTACCAAGAATCGTTTCATTGCTGACTTCGAATTCAATTTCACCCTGAAGAACATGGAAATATTCATCTTCTTGATGAGGAATACGACGTAGAAGAGCTTCACCCACAAGAATTTCTCTTTCCATAATAGTAATTCGCTCATCTGTTTGGTCTCCACGCACTTTGATCACACGAGTTGAATTCGCTCTTGAGGGTATGGGTGGGATAATGTCAATATATACACACACACCCTAAAACCAAGGGAAATTTTCTGGTGAATTCCGGTCTGGAAATACTGCGAAGTTGTTGGAAGATGTGGGAACCGATCAGTTCCGGGTCGGATTGTTTGACCTGGGTAAATATTCAATTTTACATTTTATTATAAAATTTGTTTTTTAGGAAGAAATAATTCGATTTATCAAGGATAGAATGGGCGTGTCGACAAACAAATACAAAAGAAATGGTTTAGTAATTACATATACTCAAAAACTTGATCGACCTACGTATAATATTACCCTTGATGTTGACCATTGTTGTGAAGAACGCCATACATTTAATCTTTCTGAATATTGTATTAACAAGTAAATATAAATCATGTTATTTTCTCATATATGTAAATTTTCTTTGAATATTCTAGGAAATTGATAAATGAAAAACAATTTACAATAAAACTCGGTCGTAAAATAGCCAACACCATTCGAAATTATAAAAGACAAAAAAAGACAACATGAAAAAAAAGTACGTTCAATACACAAGTCTAAATTATTATGTTCACGAAGGAATATATGTTCTTTATGAATGTCAATAGCAGTTTCGATAAAGATTTCTTTGTTTTTGTTGATATTGATGGTAGAATGCTTTTAGTTTTTCACAGGATTACTTCTACCTCTATGACCGATCAGGAGAGATTGATCTTTGCTAACGTATTTTTTTAGACTACCTGATAATTTTCAGTTATCAATGTTTTTATTTTTATACATAGGTAAAGAAAATGAATTACATCGTACTCAACCATCACTTACTCGTATTTATATAATTCGTGGGTTGTTCGGGAATCGAATTCAAAATTTTACTTCTGATGCTCTTACATATATTCAACCATTTCTAAAATGTCTTGATACTAATACACTATATGATAATATTTATCCTCGAGGAACAACATCATATGAACAAGTAGTTGAACGGCGAGAAGCAGAATTAATTATTCGTATTGCATCAAATTTACAACACATGAAGGATGCTCTTACAATCATTGAACAAATGAAAGACATTGATTTTCTTAATTGTAATCAAGAATTTGTTTCTCAAGCTGAAAAAATGATTCAATTAAATTATAATTCATCTATTAATACATCAACTGATTGTATTACATCATCAACAAATACTCAATGGACTTTAATGATTACTTTGGAAACAAGTATTGAAGCTGTTAGTTTATTCATATCGATTTTGATGCCTCAACATTTTACTATTATGAATTATCGATGAAGTGTTGATGATAAAGAAACCTTACCTGAATTATAACTTCGAACAAGAATTTTAAATGTTAATTATAATATTTTTCACAAAACAACTTTATTTGGCAATATTGGTGTATTGAAGAATATTGATAAAGATATTGTTGATCATTTATTAAGTCGACTTGTCAAACGTAATATTTTGAAAAAAGAAACATTTTTGCAATCCGATAATCGAAATAAATATGAATCATATATGAAATACTTACCAAGTGATCAATTAGAAGAACAACAATTAATCAATGAATTAAATAAATACAAAATTTCATTGAAAGAATATCAAGAAATCTATCAAACCAGTAATGTTTGTCCACCTGCTACCATTATAACAGCATAAGATAAAGTGGAATTACAAAAGCAAAATGGTGTGGGTGTGGGTGTGGATGTATCTATCTTCTTTATTTACACCCACCCCCACACCCTTTTTAGAGTGATATCACCCTTGATATAAACCATTCGTGTGAAGAACGTCGAACATTTAAAGTTTTGGAATATTGTATTAACAAGTAAATATAAGTAATGTTATTTTCTCATCTATGTAAATTTTCTTTGAATATTATAGTAAATTGAAAAATGAAAAACAATTCATAAAACTACTCGGTCGTTATATAACCAACACACTTCGGCGATATAAGAAAGAGAATGAGAAAAACCACTTTTAAAATTTTTTATTTAAAGCAGTTTCATTTGTTCTTGGCCCATCAACTAATTCATTTTCATTTGTCCATCCATGACGTGCTATTTAACCATTTTAACTATTATTAATAAACAGAACTAATAAATCATAATCTAATCTTGTTGCAATACAATAACTTAGCATAAGAGAATCACTCATTTATAAATTAATAAAAAATAATTATTAATTTTAAAAATAAACAAAACAAATTTAATCTTTACAAATATAGTCATATATAGAATTGCTTTAATATTTGAATGTCATTTCGTATTTTTGTGTTTCTTTTCATGAGAAGACTCATTGATAAAAGAAAATTAAATAATACATAAAGTACACTGAAGATAAGAAATGAAATATATCAGAAAGATTTTTCTCTTTTTAATGTACATTTTACACTTCATTCTTCGAAAAGACAAGCTTATTACGTATATAATAAAACAGTATTTACTAACATATCGCCAATGAAATAATGAAATAGATACCTATATTACACAATCTTGAATATAAATACTTTATTCTACTTATTCAAATCTTTATATTGATTTACTAGTTTTAAAATGGTCTACGTATTAAAAAACTAGACAATTAATTCACACATGATATTAAAATATGGGATGAAACGTTAGATTGATTTATCAAACTAACCAAACATATAGAACAATAGTATGTATAATAGAATTTTATCTTTTGAAAATGATCAAAATTAGCCGAGTAATTGAGAGCTTTGACACTAGTTCAGGTTGACTTGATTAGAAATAATTCTAAACGTTTTCTTTCGATGAAAAACTGAATTTTATTGATGAATTAATTGTAAGATGATGAAAATGGAATGGAATTTTGAGAATAGATAGAAAAGAATAATAAACTATCACCCAACGATTATTACACTTGAAAGACGGTATATGGATTGAAGGGGTCGTTGTTCATCTAGATTTTTCTGGAACATCTATTGAAAAGATCGTTGTTGAATATATTAATAACTATATTCGTCAAATTATCAACAAAGACGTTATCGATTCGACTAAGCAGCAAAATGACACAGTAAGACAATTATATTTCACTGATTCAAAAAAA